GCCATGTTCCCGCTGCCACCGGCGACCTCTGACCCCCGCCAATCACTTCCGGTCACGGCTGTCAAGCCGTTGCCATGGCAGCGCTCCTGGCCCCGGCCGCCCTTAAAGGGGCAGCAGCCACCCCGGCCCCTTCACTCCCCCACGGACCCCCGCACCCACTCCTTACACCCTCACCCACGCTCCTTACACCCTCACACGCCTGCAGTTGGCAGGCCCGTGCCGTGGGGCAGCTGGTGGGAGAGGATGGCCTCCGGCGCTCGGGAGGAAAAAGCACTCACCTTAATTTAGTTATTAGCTAAAAAGGGACAATGATTCATCAGCCCAACGGTGCTGGATGGAGGGGAAAACCCTACTGCTGTTAGCCATGGATTTGGTTATAAAATAGCCTGTCAAGTGTGAGAGAAGCAAAAAACCATCGTGGCATGACTTCCACTGCCGTGAGGAGATGGTTTCTCTTAACTTTCTCTGAAACTGGCAATATTTTCAGCTTTTATTGCACCATGCTTTACTGCCGCTCACTGTTGACACAGTTAACCTTTTTATACTCTTTCCACATGTATGTTTTTATAAGGTAAACAAATCTGGTGAAACCCCCAATCCAAGAAGGAAAACTCCAGGAGGTTTTAAGTAAAGTTTTATGCTTGTTTAAAACCAAAGTGAGCCCGTGCCCAGCTGGCTAGAGCTGTTGGATCAGGACCAAAGCGGCCTGGGCTCTCTTTCTGACCCCACAACAATCTCACGTGCACGGGCGAACGTGCCCCTCTGCAAAACTCTTGCGAAGTACAAATACCAGGGTAAAACCTGATCCCATACCCATTTAGGGATATATTGCCCCATAAGCACTCCCCGGTGGGATCCCTCTTTTCTACTGCAGTTAGTTTTGAGGACAACATTGGCTCTTCTGAAGTGCCAACCATCATTCAGCGTGAATTCATTGCCTTAATAAGTACCTTTGCAGAGCCGAGAATCATACATCAGTTTGGTCAATACTTGAAATAAAAAAATTAGAGAATGAGCCTTCTGGGAATCTCATCCTAAAAGTCATTAAAAAGTTGGAAATTCCATTGTCATCCCTTTTTGAGGGATCTTGTTTGTACATCGAGCCTGGAGAACCAGGGGGTAAGAGGGGACTTGGGTGTTGTCTTCCACTGGTGGAAGGTTATTGAGAAAGTGGAGCCAGGCTCCTTTCAGAGGTGCACAGCAAAGAGATGAGAGGCATTGGTTCCACATTGCAGCAAGAGAAATCCCAATTAGATATTAAAAAGGAATTCTTCAAAATGGGGATGGTCAAGCACTGGAATGGGCTTCCCAAAGACCTTGCGCAATCTCAAAACTAGTCTGGACAAGATCTGAAGTGAAGGTACTTATAGCATCCCAAATCCTTCAAAATGACTTAGCTGAAGGGATGAAGACAACTCCCTGTTAGATTGCACTGTCTCTTGTGTCAGGACGCTGCTCTTTGGGTGATTCAGCTCACCTGTCTTGTGCTAACTATAAAACAGGCATTTAGTCAGACTTAGTCATCAAGGTTCCCCCCTCTGCTTGGAGGCAGCTCCAAAAAGTGACCCATTCCATCCTAAAATGGATGTTTAAGACAGCTCAGCACATGGGAAGATGAAATGGCCGACTTTTTGGTAGCACTTTTACTGCTCAGATAGTTAAAGCTAGGTGAAATGAATCCTCACTGGTGCCTCCTGAAAATAGGGACAAGAGGAAGGCAAACTGCAGAATTTTAAGTAGCTAAGCGCAAGACCTTAGGATGAAAGAAATGACATAGACAGCATGGCCCCAAAGGGAACATGTGTCTTGGGCTGCCAGCCACTCACTCGTGGCCAGGCTTCTGGGCAGTCTCAAAAGTTTGAACAGAAATGGGGCATCTGCAGTGATGGTATCTATCTGCAATAGGCCTCCTGGTACAACCCTGGAATGCTAAATAGAAAGCTGTCCCCAAATTATTACACTGCTGTCGTGTAGGGAGGTGAGAGAGGTGAAACTGCAGTCATATCTACGTGTGGCTTTTGGTATTTGTAGCGCAGGGAAGTCGCAGCTCTTTTCATTAGTTTGATAAACTGATAACGGGCAAAAATGCATATGGCTAATTGTCTCTCAGGTTGAAGCTCTCTGTATGGAAGAAATCTGTTCTAAAATGGGTTAATAAAATCTTGAAGAAAACTTTGTAGCTAAGTGAGGAGGTTTGGCACTCTAGCGTGTATCTCTGAGGCAACAAAATGCAGGCCAGTATCTTACTGCAGCCTACTCTCTTCCACTTTCAGGGTGACCCTGGACAAATCCCTTCACTCTCCCTATCAGTGTAGTAGGAATAATGACACTTTCTCGTTGCTGACAGTGCTGTCAGTAGACAGTAATCAAAGTTTGTAATTAGATTAGAAAATGTGAAACACTATACAGGTCTCCTTCTTACAATGCCAACACCTGGCTATAGAAACTTCCAGTTAAGATATTTTACTTATAATTCTGGATAAAACAATTTGCTATGACAGATAATAATGAGTAATTGTGTTCCTGTTTTCCTTAAGGACCTCAGAGCAATTTTTTGAGGTCTATCACATCACAAAGTCTATCCACTGAAGAAGAACACAACATCTTTTCAACCATTCACCATGGCACTCTATTGGAAAATACAAAGGAGAATTTAATTTTCAGTTGCAACTACACAGGCAAAGTAGATAAGCACCTTGTGCTTTACAGTCATATACTTAACGCTGAACTTGCGTGAGGTGAGTTAGTGTAACCGTTTTGTTAGAAAGCAAAAAGTCTGCTCAAGAAAAATACAGGCATTCATAATGCCCCTACAGTTTTTGTGAAAGTGGAAAGTACAATTTCTACAGCCAAAGACAACAGTGAGGGGAAGAAAAGAATGTTCAGTATTCAGCAAAAAGGAAGAATCCGGCTGACTGGAAATGTATGTGCATTTCAGAAGGCTTTGTTAAAAAAATATTAAGGTACTGGCTTTACCTCCATAAAAATAATGCCATTTGAAGCTGAAGTCAAGCTTTCGACATGTTTGAAATAAAACAATATAGATTTAATTTAGCCACAAAACAATTCCTGTGGGGAGAGCTGGAAGCAGCAAGGCCTGATTTCCAACAAACTTGCTCCCTGTATCCCTCAGCCCACCTCCATCCCGTCTGCATTAATTTCATCTCCTCCCCACACCACGGCCAACAGTCCCGCAAAGCAAGACGCAGTAGGTGCGGGTTGGCCAGTGAGTACCAGTTGCCAAGAGAAACAATAATGTTTGCTCAGTGGGGGCATGAATTTAGTTCTTGCTCCTCTGGCGTGCTGTTTGAATTAACAGATCTTGTAGGAACATGATTGTTTCTGAGACTACTGCCCTTCAATCAAATTTGGGTGAAATTTGTCAAAAAGGTTCAAAAGGTATTGCAGGGGGACTTGCAGCCAGACTGAAAGCCAGGGTTGCCAAATAAGCAATATTCATGTGGAAAAACAGGCTGAAAAAAATAAAGAGTTGACTACGGGGGGGGGGGGGGGATCAATGAAAATCTTTTTGGAAGGGGGTGACCTTCAAAATGATTCAGACTTTCTAGTTGTGCTAGCACCTGAGAAACAGCAAGTGAAAACAGGAAATGAGACAAGCTACCATCCATCCACTGACAGGACTTGGAAGTATACGGAATCAAGAATTTAAGATGTTGATAGTAACACAGGAAAAGGGAATTTTTTGGCTATAGCAGCAGTAGGCTTTACAAAATGTTTTTAGTGATGTGATTTGCAGTGGCACCCTTCCATCCATCCTGTGTTGGCATAGCTCACCGGGATGACAAGTGGCATCATGGAGCTCTTAACAAGCCGCTAAGAGAGGGGAGACAGAGAGGAGGGGAAAGCATTTAAAACCAGTATCACTAACAACAGCAGTATGCCTAAAACATTTTGGGTTTTAATCACGATTGCTTAGTTCTGTGTTTTACTGATTAGACTAAGTCCCCTTGGGGCCAATATCTGAGCTGAGGGAAATGGCAGACCATGTGGCACTCAAAACAAAAGATAAGCAATATGGAAAATATCTTTAAGTAGCCAGTCACGCCTCCCTAGAACTGCCAAAAACCATCAGAAAGAAAACTCATGTTCTCCTGTTCCTTGCAAAAGCCTCAGTCACTTGAATGAGGAGACTCTCCAGGAGCTCTTGTTGCTAAATGGCCTGGGCTGTGCTTGCATCAAAAGGTTTTCAAATTGTGACCCACAAACTACTTATGGGTCTGCCGAGAGCCTGCTCTTCACATGGCTATTTCCACCTCCTAAATCACATCAGAACGTGTTAAATGCTTTCCTAATGTACCTATGCCATGTAAACAATTGCAGAATTAGCCCCAGAGATGTTATAAAATGGTAAATTGAAGGAGTGGGAAGAAGAGGAAGAGGAAAGAAAGGATTGTGTGACAGAAAGGGAAAGATGAGAAGGGATCATAAATGCAAAACGTGGGAGGTCATGAGATGCTCTCCCCAAAGACCTCCTCCCCAGAGAGCAGTGCAGATACCATCATCAGGGCCTCTACTGTGTTTTCTCCTAAAATCCTTTAGGATGGCTCTGCCCTAACACTCTTCATATAGCTCATTTGCCAAAACTGCGGTGCTCCGTATCCACCTGGATTTTTTCCTCTCTCTTGGGTTTTCTAAGCAAATTTCACTTCCTGTGAGAAGAGCTAAGTTACTTGATGTCTGGATCATTCACCTTCCTG